TGAGATTTTTATCCCTCAAACCTATTCTTTAGTCATAAAATGTCTAGTCACTCTACCAGTAGTAGGAATAGACTATTCAGCATGTGCAAAATTTTCTTCTTTAGACGCTTTTCATTTTTAAGATCAGAATAGAAAATAATTTTCAGGGCAGCAGTAATGCAATTGATCTGCTCAACAGCTGTATCATTGTCTTTCCACTTGATCTAACATTCATAACTCACCAAATTTTGAAATTGTTGGCGATCTAATTTGCTATTCTAGTTTAGTCTTACCTCAATATTATAATACTAAGACAAATAGTTCCTAAAACAAAACCAGTAACAAGTAATAAACAAAAATAACATTAAAAGCAATGCGCCTCCTTTAAAAAGGCTATTCCCCTAAAGATACCATGTGCCTTTTGTTGTCTAGTTCAGTTGTTCAAAACAGGAAAATTTGAGTAGTAGTGCTGTGATGCAAAGAATGCAAATTGAATCCCAGGTTTATGTAGGTAAATAAGGTTTTATGAAGAATCTTTATGACATCATGGATTATCTTAAGTGCTCAGGTACTGAGGAACTCATTCCTGTGTGCTACAATCTATCATAATACAGTCCTGTGTTTCTTCTTAGCAATATTTTTGAATTTTAGCATTAAAACTTAAAAGATTATAAAATATGGTTTCTATTTAATCTGTTAATATCACAGGTCCACTCTGTAAGTAAAAGAAGGAAGAAAAGTCTAGTGAATATGTATTTGGTAATATCCCTGGGAATTCAGTTGTGTAGGTGTGATACAAATGGGGAAAATGGCTCTCCAGGGAGAAATGTGTGGAGACAAACAGAGAGAAACCTTTTTGCCAGGCTGAGGGGGTTTGCTGCTGGCTGCTTGGCTGTGCGGTGGCATTGTTCGGAGGAAGTGCACCTGTTCTAACATTTTCTTCAGCTGGAAGCAGACAGGTTTGTTGAATGCTCTAATTGCTGGTAGGCATGAAAGGATTGCCTAGAAGATTGCTTCTTAGGCTGTCCTTTGATGTTTCGTAAGATTGGGAAGTGAAGATTTTTTTTCCTTTATCCATCTTACTAATAGGTGAGAATAAAATCTCTCTTCTCAGCTTTCATTCCAGAAGGTATCATGGCACATTCAGTCCGATTAGCTGTATCATGGGCCAAAAGACTCCTTTTATCTTTTGAAAAGATTTATAAAACACAGGCATAGTCATCACAGTCCACATTCATAAAACACTATTAGCGACGTGTTCAGTTCATTGCAGGGGTCTCTGGGCAGGAGAAATACTCTTCTGTGAACACTGGGTTTGTCAAGTGCTATAAATCCATGGCTAGGAATTTTGTATAAAATCATTTTAATACATGTTATGAATCTTGAACTGCAGTTAGAAAAGGTTCTTTGTTTAATTCAAATTATGTAAATTTATAACCACAATAATTCTAATATAGGATGCAACTTTTGCCTTATTTTTCAGCAAAATTTGAATAGCAGAGAACTGCACCGAGGCTTGATGTTTTGAAGGTCCTTCTTGTACAAATAAATATAAGGCGTGACTAGTGCACTGTGAAGTATTGTAATAAATTTAGACTATAACTAAAGCTACAAACAGTACCTTGTGATATATTTTGTTTGCAGAAATTTGGAGATTAATAGAGTAACCAAAAAACTCTGTAATAGGTTAAATGATAAGTTTTTACTTACTTGCCTTAATAAGAAATGCCTAGCTGAAAGAAATTACGGTGCATTACTTTCACTCGTGTAAACTCACTAACACCTTTCTCTTGAGAAGGTGAACTATTGCCAACATAGTTGGAAGTACCAGAATACTTAAATATATGTAGGTTGTCCCAGTAGAATAATCTTCCTCGATCGAATTTGGTTTATGTCTCTTCTGTGATACAGGATTTATATTCAGATCCATCACTTGCAAAGTTCAGGAGTGCATGGAGTGTGTGCCTTTGAATCAGAGCCTATTTTACTTTCTAATGAAGAGTTGAGAATTCTGCATAAGAAACCTACGTCTGTTAAATATGACTCTGAAATATAGTGTCTAAAATTTTGAAAGATAAGTATTGATTTAGGCTTTATTGGAAATTAAATTGTGGTTTTTGAATCTGTTGTAGAATTTGGGAGAAAACTTTCAAGGTATCTTCTGAAACTTAGGGATCCATATGTGATTTTTGTATTACAGAATTATGAATGCAATTTCCATTTTTTTAGAATTGAATGCTTTTTTTGCAGACTAGCTGTTCTGGGATTCAATTTTTGGAATGCTGAAACATGTCAGACTTGATCTTTATAGCTGCCTTTTTGAGTAAACTGGTTACAGTGCCAGTAGTCAAGGCTGTTAAACTTCTGTTGAGTTTTGTCATGGTCACAGCTTCCCAGCTTTCTCTTCTGAGGACAAAGAGTGTGTATTTTGTCTTGTGGTGCAAGCAAGGAATATATTTAAAACTGTGGCCTCCAATTTTCATTTTGTTGTAACGCAATGAAGTATTTTAAATACCATGCCTGGAACTTTGTTTACTTGACCAAGTGGTCAGTCTGTGGCCTTTATCTGTGGAACCAAGTGTTTATCAGGTGTCTGTATGAACCATGAAGTGCATTAAGGAACATTTTGCACCAGTGTTTTATTTTAGATGTCTTTATTATAAAGTATTGATGTGCTAAATTTTCCAAAGGTATTTTAGGTCCAGGAAATTTTTTCCCTCACAACTTTTCAAATTTAGTATGCATATCTTTGTATGTATAGTTCTGTGTGAGCTTGTATCTACTTAAATAAAATTCTTTAGTTCTGATGTTTTAGTTAACTAAGTAAACATGAATATCTCAGGTGTTTGGAGGCAGGGTTGCTAATATGCATACCCTTAGGATGTAAATACTTCAAGAGAATAAAATCTAGGCAATTATATTATTCACGTCTCAATGGATAGGGAGAAGGTTGAGTGTTTGGTTCACCTCCCTGTTCACCAAACAGCAGAAATGAGGCAGTTCTGAAACTTGGGTTGGTACAGTTAAGGAAATAAGCAAGTCCTGTTCAAAGCTGAAAGGGAAAAGATTGCAGATCACAGTCATGGATCCTGGTGTTTTGTTCACTACTAGTCACTCCCTACTTAGTTCTGTAAATGCAGAGAGTACTACTGCCTAAAAAATTCTTAATGATGACCCATACAATGCAATGCCTATGTTTGAAAGTGGCCTTCTCAGTGTTCGTCTCCAAGTCACCGTCTTAAGGGTTATAAGTAAGCCATCTGGAAAGAATGGGGTGACTCATTCATTTGATGTGGCTGCTGGTTTTGTGGCCTTATACAGGGAGAAACAATGTGTACTGGGTCATAGCCCTGCAGGAAATTTTTCAGACATCTCTTTGATAGGGACAAAGTCTTGCCGGACTGTTTTCTTAGGTTTATTCTGATTTAACCTGTTGAAAATAGTCATTGAATAACTATATATTTTGTATCAGGTAGACATACAATTACAATTACGTCTTTTTTTTTCTTCTTGGTGGGTATTGGTGGCATCACTTAAATGTGTCTCTGTGTGCTATTTCATTTTTGTATGAAGTGTTCAGAACTGCAGCAGAAATTGCACTCTGAAAATGGAGAAGGAAATTAAATGTGTGAGATTAAAGTGATTTAATTCTGAGAGCTTGATTTATTCAGACAAAACTCCGGGAAATTCAAAGCTTAACTTGAGCTGACATCCATCAATCAAACGCTTGGGAAAAGAATAATGCTAGTAATCATAAAAATAAAAAAGATGTGAGATAGAAGCAGAGTGCAAGTCTTAATGATCTAGAACCATAACTGTATTCTAAATGAAAGGTTTTGTATTTAATTTCCTGAAGAAAGTATTAAGGGTGAGGAATAGGGGAGAAAAATATTTCGTGGGAAGTTTAGTTAATGGATGGGACATCTTTCAAAGCCCGAATAGTTCAATGCCCCACAACTTTGACTGCTCTTAAAAGCTGAATGGTGTAAGTATTCTGTAATGTCTCATTTTAATCATGTACTGGTGTTCATAAAAATATATGCAATGATTTTTTTAAAGGAGAACTTATAAAATAGATTTTTTTACTTCATTGAAATCAGTGAAATACTTCAGTAATTTCTGACAATCATGGGGACTAGAAGCTGATGTACTAATATACTACAGTGTTACCCAAGTGACTGCATAGCTAATTACCAGTGTAAGAGATGGTTTACAAATGTACTATGTTAAGAAACAAAGTATCTTTCATCCCGTATGAAACTCTGAAAGAAAAAGATTAAAATCAAATATAATAAACTCAGTCACTTTGTATTTGAAAATAAGAAAGATTCTGAACTGAATTGGTGTTGGCTTGAAACAGATTATATTTTTTCTGCTATGTCAATTGATTTGTGGTCAGGCAAGCTACAGGAGCTGATGTCGAATTCTAAAGGAGCTTAAAAAAAAACCCTTCAAAACAAGAAGATATTTTCAGCAAAGTTTTTACTTGCATAATTTCAGCAAATCTTAAAAACATTTTAAGTGTAGTATTCAGTATTTCATTTATAATGCTCTTCTGAATATATTTTATGTTAAGCAGTGTTCAATTCTACAATTAAAACATACGGGGAAGGTTCTAATTGGCAGACCAGTTAAGAAACTTTGTGCCACCTTGAAGTGGCACTTTGTAACAGACTGGAGAAATGGCTAGATTCTTGTGAATTGTGAAGGTATTGTGAAGGAATCTTGTGTACCAGCATGCTACAGAAAAGTTTAGGGTTCAAAGTATGTTTTAATTTAATGAATGTTACATAATTTTTCATGCAGTTAGCAAATTTGATTGTATCAGTTTAACTCTCTTTATGAGCTGGTCCAAACAGAATAGAAAAGGAGATAATTATGGAGAAAAAGAGGAAATCGAATAAATATTCATAATGTATGTAAAATTTCTTTTTATCCTAATCTATTATTTTTATCTAGGTCACCTTCCACATTGTTCTTTTTCTGATAACCTTTTTTTTTTTATCTCACTTTCTATGTAGGACTGGCTCATCACATCTGTAATCTCCTAACAGAAGCTGTGGTTCTGTACTTGGAGGCAGATGATAAAAGCAGCACCAAGACAGTAAATGCACTGCTTCTGTCCTTACTTGACATTTTGCAGTGCATGCTTATGTATACAGCAAACATTGTACGCCAGACTTTGCAGGTATGTGATTTATTTCCTGGGGCCATTACCATCTTAAACAATTTTTTAGATAACTTCCTGTTATCCTAATAATGAGATTCCCACTATTCTGATTTTATTGAATTTTTAGTATGGTGGAAAATCAATTTGTCTTCCAAGTTTCTGTTTGAATCAGTGCAAGTCATGGTATTGGTAGGACTTCCTCCTCCAAGAAAGCCATCCTCGTCCTTAAAAAGGAAGATACAATTCAAAGAAATTTCACATAACTCTCTTAGTAACATATCAAGAAGAAGCATTCATCTTTTTTTAGACATGATGTTAAGCTAACAAATTTTGCTTTGTTTTTAAATGATCTGCTGAATTTTTCTTTAGTCAAGTTTTTTGTTTGCTTGCTTTTGTGCTTTGTTTTCATTTCTCTTTTTTTCTAAAGAAGGCTTAATGTAAGAAGTTGATGTTGAAATTTGAGCTTTTTTCTTTTTTTCTACACTGATTTACATGATCAGCCATGTTATCAACCAGATATTTCACTGGGAGGTTTTTGTTTTGTTTTTCTTGAATTTTTGGAAGAAAATTTAAATGTGATGGTACAGTACTTGGTCTTTTTTGAGTCCTCTGTAATGGTTTTCTCATCTAAGAATCACTTTGTAAATCAAATTTTGTAGGCTAATTCCCGATTGTCATATTTTTGGCATCACTCCTTCACAGAGAGCTAAATTCTGTACTTGGGTTCCATATAACAGTGGTGAGGCCAGTTATTCTGGAGGACACGTGAGGAAAGAGGATCTTGCACATGGTTTGGTAGTATTAGTCAAACTGAAGGGTTTTATTTGGATACAAAATTAAATCTATTCATTCAAAGCCAAATTCTATTCTGGCTTTACTTGAATACTTCAGTTAATTGATGCACTAAAACTCCAGCTCCAGTTTTGTCTAACTCTTGTCAAAGTAATCTGCTTTGCTCTGGAATGCTAATAAATAACAAGAAGCAGCTGGAAAACTGAGTTTTGAAGCATAGCTCTGTCCTGTGCCCTTAAAAAACAAATTTTACCATGATGTTACTTGCCTTGGCTTACTCATCTTGACAGTACTTGTCAGAAGGCCTGAGAGTTCTACAGGTGTATCAGTACATGTGAAATATTGAATGATGGCCATTACCTACTGACTACATAGTGTTCCACTATCCACGTGTCACTAAATGCATCATGAATATTACTCTTGGACTGTTTTTTTGTAGAGATCTTCTGAGTAAGATGCCTTCCAAAACAGAACTTGAAAAGGAGAATCAAATTTTTGAGGCTTAAGTTGACTTTTACAAATGGTAGTACCTCCACTTGAATCCTTTTTATTTAAGCATTTTGTGTAAAAGGTGATAACCTTATCCAGCTGCATTGGGAAGGTGACTTACTTGCCTTTCTTCATTAATATAAACACTCCATTTTTTTATCTTCTCTACATTTGTTGTTCTTGGGCTTCAGCATTCCAGATCATTGCAGTGAGTCTCAGTGAGGGACATACCAATGTGACTTCTCACCTGGAGAAACAGCTCCTCGGTTCTCTTTTATTTTAAAATTCTTTCCAGAAGAAAGGCACTGTCCTTTCCACTCATCAGTATCAACAGTGGAGCTTGAGCAATAGTGTCTCCTGCCTTAGGGGACTTGCTCCTCTGTTCACTTAACCAAATGAAAATCTTCAGGTATTGCACTTGGACAGTGATTTTTAGGATTGAGCTATAAATGAAAGACAATAAAAAATTATTTTAAAATGTCTTCTTTAGACAAAATGTTTACTTTTTCCTCCAGCAGATTGACCGTATAGGGTCATAGTCCAAAGCTGGTTCAAGATAATGAACTTAAATGAAAGATCTTTCTGGTGCCCTGGGGCAGGGAGGGGTCATAAATACGACTGCCTAGGTTGGTAGTGTGTCTTGATGAGGGGGGATGAGTGGTCAGAATTACAAGTGGTAACAGATCTTATCTCAGACTTTGGCCGCTTGGAGACTTTATTATTCCTCTTTCAAAAATAGTTTAAATTATTGTAATATACTGTGAATATTCCAGGATACAGAGTAAGGCAGATGAGCAAAATTGGGCAATATTGCTGAGAATTTTCAGTCACCTTGATTTTCTTGGTTTGAGTTGCATGTGAAATTGTACCTGATAAAGGGGAAAAAAAAATTTGAACTTTAATGTTAAAATAGATGTGTCATGTTGACAGAAATTACAAATGCATGAAACATTTATGACTTTGGAGGTATCTTTTACATGTACAGTTTATTACATTTTTCTGAAGAAATGTCATGTGGGTCAGTATATTCAGCCTGTGCAGAATGGGCATGACAGCAGGAACCCCTTTTGCTTTGTGCTTATTGTCACAGACACAAGGAATGTAACTGCTCATTGGGAGCTCAGGAATATTTAACTAGAAGAGTTCATAAGTCTCCTTCAGACTTCTATTCACGCTTCCACCACCTAATGGACCTAATTTGTTCCTCATACCAGAACAGTCACCAAGGTCACTTTTGATTTTTTCTCTCTTATTAAGGCACAGAAATCTGGCACAGGAGGGGACACACAGGCTGCCGAAGACCTTCTGCTTATCAATAAACCCCTGACGGACCTAATTAGCCTGCTTATTCAACTGGTGAGAATTTGTGTGTTTGTAAGCCTTTTGGAACGTTTCTGAAGTTGGAATTATTCTATCGAATTCAACATCTTAGAGCTCTGTTTGTTAGTTTTTCATTGTTTATAAGCTACCATCTAGTACTCTAACACTTTGTAGAAAGCTATAGGTCATAATGACTTACAGGTTACCAGTGATGTCAGAATAAATCTGTCTGTCCCAAGCATAGAAGTGGGATGAGGGGTAGATTCTCAGTTTGGATACATATGTATAACCAAATTTTAGCCCTTCAGAATGAACTAGTGATCACTGCATATGGAAAGGATGTATTCAAAATATGACACTAATAGTACTGCTACCATTACAATGAAATATTATTTTCTTGAGTTTCAGCCTTCTGAGTTTTCTCAAGGGTTTTCTTTTATTTTGACATGACCCTGAGTGATTTATGAGTGGGAGTGCTCCCCAGTGATCTGTAAACATCTTTGAAGTGTGTCTGTTTAAAGACACACAAAGTCCTTTCCAGGGTTTACTAGGTGTCACAGCACTGCACTGAAATCTCCACAGAGTGCTGCACTGTGGCCCTGATGCATCCCATCAGCTCAACCTCCATAATACTGTGCCAGAGATCTGTATTGACTGTGTGTAATGATTTGTAGTAAGGAGTGCTTCTTGAGCTGGACAGGGCTTTTAGAGGCTGCATCAGCCTTTTATTCAATATAAAGCCATTAAAATGTGAGAATTTCCCTGTGGCATATCACAGTATCCTTTCCAGGTTATTTCACTTAAAGGCATTTCAGATTCACTGTGTTCTCTTCCAGACATGATTCTTTTTTTCCATTTAAACAGAGGTTTTCAGGTGTTTTGTGATATCAATAGTGTGGTCCTTTTACTATCTTTAGCACTGTCTCTCATCTTCTATTTTTGGGAAGTGTGTGATTCCTATTAATTTTTGGCGTTATACTTGTTGCTAAGTCCTCCTTTGATGGATTTCCTTAAACCAGTTATTGGCAAAGGCTTTTTGGAAATGTTCACTGAATGATCTAAAACAAAGTGACTGAATTTCAACTATATAATATTTCATCTTTATAAATTCTTTTAATTTATTTTTTATTAATTTTTTAAAATCACTATATATGATAAATAGTAGGACATGAAGAGATGCAAATGTTCCTTTAAAGTGAAACTAGTCATAAATTTAAATTCTATTAACTCTCTAAAGAACAGAAAATTAGAAGACAAGTTTTACTCAGCTTATGCCACCTGGAAGTCTTTTATAGGTTTTTAATTAAAGAATAGGTTAATTGTACAGTTAGCATGTACTGATTAGATTGTGACTTGCCCTTGTATTTCAGAAGCAGGGCTGCAAATTATCACTGGGTTTTGCTTTGTTCTGTACTTCTACAGATTTTGGTATGTTTAAAATGCTGATTTTAAATCTGCTGATATTAACATACAGGTAAAGAATAAAGACCATTTCTTTTAGTCACTTCTTTTAGGTGCCAGTGGTTGTTCTCTGTATTCATTGGGCTGTGTGGCTACATAACCCTTTATTGCTGTTTTGAGGCATTCATTTCTTTGCGAACTTTGTTTTCTGGAGATGATGGAGATCTTAAATGTTGAACTGATCATTACTTTAAGATATTAAGTTAAAATTATTTTCTCTGGTTTGCTATTTCTACCTATCTTACCATATTTATGGTTTCTTATGTCACCTTGAATAATTGTTTTCCCTCATTGATATGTGTATCCTTCAAGTAGGTTATTATTCCATGCCCCATTTACTTGGCTTTTTATTTTCCTCAAGTTCTACATGTTTTTCTCTCTCAATAATCTCTCAAAAAATCAATGTGAGTTAAACTTGAAAATGTCAAACACTTAGAATCAATTTTTCCCTTCTGTAGTTGTGATTTAGTCTATCACTAAAGGCATAGCAAAGCAAGTGCAGGAAACCTAGATTGCATGTAAATGAAACTTCAGGGTTTTAAGAATGCAAAAGAAGAAATAATTACAAATTCTATCATGCAGAAAACACTGCAAATATGGAGAATTCAATATTTAATCCCATGATCATTATGCCCTTAATTGATCAATAAGAGGAAAATAAATTGAGCATTTAGTCTTCTGCTTGGCAGTTTTGTGTTTAAAAGTTAATTACACTTACCTTTGCTGGGTAATGTTCCTCCGCTTAACATAAATGTAATTTGAATATTATACTGAAACTTGCAGCAATTATACAAGATACGAAACACCTTCTAATTTTTTATGTACCCATTATACAGAAAAAAAAATAATGTTTACTTTTGAAATCACCTCAGTGTGGATTTTCAGAAACTTTCAGAAACCTGACAGTACCTATAAAAAGGAGTTTCATTTTCTGTAGGTCTCAGATTTAGTTCCTAGGTGTAGATCTTCCAGTCTTTTCTGCAGCCTATCAGATTGCTGGGAGAGAAAGTTTCTTGATTTCTGGTGGTAGGCTTCTTCATCATATTATTACTAGTAAAATTTGCAGCTACTTACTGTGCTCTGTATGTTACTGTTGGAAGTCCAGCTAATCACGTGCAAATGGGAACAGGACAAATATGAAGCCTCAGTGCACATGGATGAATGAGATGATCTCTTCTAGGTCCTTTATGTTTCTATATTGCCCTGATTCTAAGGCTGTGCCCAGAATTCGTTTTCAGAGCACACGAAGGTATTTACCACCCAATAATGAAAGTGACTGCAGAAGAATGATAACCCTGGAGGCTGTAGAATTTTCTTTCACATTTCTTAGTGATACAGACTGTTCCATGATCAGAGTGGAGAGATATATGTTTATTTCCTGTATTGTATAATGTATTGCTGTTATTGTATTTTAAATGTTACCTGGAATTATATTTGAAGAATTCTCTTATACAGAGCTACCCTAAAAAAACCAAAAAAAACCCCAAACAAACACACCAGAGGAAATAAGAATATGTTGTCTCATGCACAGAATTTTGGAATGAGGATTTACTTTCTCAACAGTTAGGCTAGATTAAAATGAACTGAAAAAACATATATATATGTATTTAAAATATTTTCCCCTAGGTAAGAGAATGGCAATTTTGCCCTAAGTCAAAATGTAATATCTTACTTTTTAATTTAAACCTGTGTATATTTACTAATAAGAATAGCATAGTAAAGCTAGCAGATTAATAGTGATGTTTTGCTTTTACATTTTGTTCAGTGTTTGCAAAATCATCTTCCCTATAGATCCCAATGGTACTTCTTTTACAGCACACTCTATAATCACATTAGTGATCTAATGGATATCTATCTCTTATCGTAATAAACTTCTATGTGTATAACCTCATTAATGCACTGAAATAGTGTCCCCTCTGGGTGATCCAGACAGTTTCATTGTAACTCTAAAATTAGATGCTGTAACAACTCCAACAGTGTGAAAACTGCCGCTTCAGCTCAAATGATCACACGTTTCTTGCAGCGGTTTGCAATTCATGAACACACTGCAACTCAGTTCAAAATGATGGAATTTTTGAGAACAGACTGCAGAAATATAGACATGCAATAACAAGAAACTTCCTGCTCTTCAACACATTAAAATACACAGAGAAGGTTCCATCTAGAAAGGAAGAGAAGTGAATTTTGTCTTATAAACTCTTTTAGAGGAAGTTATAACATGGCCATAAAAATTAAGTAAAGAGTAATATGTTGTCTGTGTTGCACAAAAGTCTTGTCATGCAGTGTTATTTTAAAATAAATGAAAAATAGATATACAGTTTTGAGTTAGAGTATGGCAAAATTTATGACCTTAGCTGTTCAGTAATTTATTTTAACGTGCTAGATTGTCTTCAAGCTATACATTAGCCCAGAATAATAACAGCTGCAAGGAGAAGTACTACTAACATTTCTACCTTGCTGAAGGGCTGAATCCATAATCCCCTCTAAGACTGATAAAGCAAAAAGAAACGAAAGGCCACTAGGCTTTTTTCAGGTTAATATGAAATATTAAGGGTCAGATATTTTCTTAAAGTGATAGAACTCTAGTTTATTTTTTTCGTGGGTTTCTCCTCCCTTGAAAGAATAAAAACATAAATATCTGCTGTCATGAAAACTGTAAATGTGTTTGAAAGAAATGTGCTTCATACCAAATTGAATTAGGATTAAAAAAATAATCAGCATGCTGTTTCAGCTAATTAAGAGCTGAACTATCCACCTATATTCATTGTTGAGCAACGTGATTCTGTCTGTGCTGTTCTTATTAAACATGAGATATTATTTACTTGAAAGCTGAATTTTTCATTCCTTGGTTTTCTATATTTTCAGATATTTATTATATTTTCAGTCATTGCTTTTGTTTTATACCAAGAATTTTCTTCAGATCCTGTACTCTTTATAGCCAGTACTAACACTGCCTGGCAGCCAATGCTAAATTTCAGGTTACCAGCTTACGACTTTTGACATCTAAATCACTACTTGTCAGTAGAGTTACAGAGAAAAATGCTGATGCAGGCATACTTAAATAGGGACATTGCTGAGAGTTCCTCTTACACCTTAATTATTGATGAGTTAGACTGAAAGCAAATGATCTTATTTTCTCCAGGGTAAATATGGTCTTTCCTATTCCAAACTTAGTTTTCTCTTCATACAAGACCCTATGCTACTATTGTTTTACCCTGAATTTTTCCAGGATAACAGCAACTTGCTCCCCAAAGTCCAGATGATGCCAAAGCTCAAAGGGACTCTGGGGAAGCAGAAGAGCCTGAAGTACAACAGAGGATGAAGGATTTCATTGACATTTGTGATTGAATAGTGCGATGTCATGGTTGGCAAGTATTGGGAACCCTGGAGTGACACTTGGAAAATAGTCACTGAAAGCCTGATACCCCATGAAGAGCAAGTCTATATGATGCCAAGACACATTGGATGGAAAGTTTCTTTTCATTAGATGGAAAGGGTCTTCCTTTCTCTTGTTGGGGAAAAAATAAAAACAACAACAATGATAAATGGTTGGACACCCTAGGAGAAGACAAGCAAAGCCATGCACCCAAGCACAGCTCCTTCTTACCTGTTGCAGTGTTCCACTGCCTCACTACCTGGGGTTTCCTGCTGAAATCAATCTCCTTTGGGAGTAACACTAACCAGATGGACTTGCTTATTTGCTTCCTTGACAGTCATGTACCCTTCTGCTGTTGGGAAGAACCTCTAAGTTTCATGGTGCTTTATGTGTTTCTTCACACGAATTTGTTGTAGGGGCAGTCATCTACTGAGACTGACACCTTTCCACTTCTTTGATATTTAGTGAATATCTCAGGAAAAGAGCTTGGGAACAGTCTCACTTTGAAGTATGTCTGTTGTTATTACTGACTAAACATGGTATTTTTTTACTTCTGGAACCCAGGGAACTCCACTGCAATACCCAGGCAAGAATGTATCTGTCCAAGATTTTCACTAATTTTTCATTTTTTATATTTGGTTAGCCAACAAACAATATTGGAAAATCAAATATTAGTCCTTTTACTATGCTTTTCTTCAGGGAGTGGTTGATATACCTGTCTACAGTGATTTAGTAACAAACTGAAAGTTGGAATGCTCCTTTTAAAAGGTGTGAGAGACATATATTAAAGTAGTTTAATTTGTCCTTTCTTTATCTAATGGCATTTTTATTTCAGTGATGGAAATACAAGTCGGCTCAAAGCCCAAAGTGAGATCAGTGGACTTTTTTAAAATTTAATAAAGATTCAAGACACAAATGAAGCCATAAAGCTTGTTACTATTTTTAGCTTTTCCTGTTTTTTGACCTTGCTAATTATGTTGATGATGTTATTAGATAATTCTGAATGTTGGAAAAGAAATAATCAAATAGGTGGCATTTAGATTGGAATGAAGAAAAACCATACAGCAAAACTGAGGAAGAAATAGCTGCTGTGGTCCTGTCCCTTGCACAGTATTAGGTCAAATAGAATGTGATATGTCTTGGGGCTATGTATTCAGAGATTACATCTCAGTTCAGTCTGTTTTAAACAGCCAACTCTATTAAGCTAGTGGAAAACAGGATTGTATTTGCATGCAGATCCCTGGAGAATTGCTGCTTGAAAATTTGAGGGGTGTATGTCTGATGGTATGTTCAGATTGCTTTAAAGTAACTGGATGGATTTTCCTTAAAATGAAAAAACTTAGGTAATTCATACTGCAGATTAAATAAGTAATCATTATTGAAATGGTTGGGCATATTATATAAATGGTTGGACAGATTATATAAATTGTTTCCTTTTATTGTCAGTAAGGATAGTCTGTTAATTGTACTTTAATCTAGCTTCTTTGTATGTAAATAGTACTTTTGGAATTAAAAAAATGAGTGGGAGTGATAAGGTGTTTTTACACTTCTGTACTTAATTGGTTTAAGACCACTACCAATATATTTTGTTCAGGTCATAGACTAAAAGATGAGAAAAAGCCACTGAAATCCTTTAGTTGAGGGTTGTGTATAACGTAAAACAGGACTTTCCTAAATTAATTCCTCATCACAGTAAATAGGTTTGTAATTTTTTTTTTAGGGAAAAAAAGGGGGTTTGTGATATTTGAGTTGCCTTTGATGGAGAATCTGTCACAGTTCTAAGAAAGTTGTTTCAATGGTTAATCACTCTAATTAAAGAGAGGAAGAAAAAAAGGAAATCAAAGTATTATCTTCCTTCTAATCTGAATTACTTTGTCTAAAGTTTTGAGCTATCATCTCTTACCAATCCTTTTTCAGGTAAAGGCATTAACCTATCCACAGCCTGCTTTTTCTCACATGTAACTGAGAGGATATGATCAAATGCCCTTTAACCTTCCCTTTGATATTCTATAGACATTGAATTCTTTCAGTCCTTTGCTGTTATGTTTTCCAGTCTATCATCTTCTTGCCTGTTCCCAAGAAACCTCTATGATTTTTTTCACTAGCTTTTGTGAACTCTCTATGCTGAAACTAGGCATTGCATTCCTGTTGTGGTTCCAAAATGTCATTGTCAGTGCCAAATAAAGGCATAATATAATATAATGTAATATCTCTACTTGTTATTTCCAGATTGTACTTTCAAAAAAGATATTAATCATTTTGATAGCAGTGTCATACTATCAGAAGCTCATTTAAAGATGATTACTAGTCATGTCCCTAAATCTCTTCTGTAATTTTGCTTCTCAGGAAAGAATTTTCCATCCCATTGCTAGGGCCTGCTGCAGTGTCTGATCTTCAAAGGAGTGCAGAAAAGCTGGAATTTAGGAAAACATTTAAAATCTTCAAAATGTACCTCCTAATGTGACTACTTAAAATCCATTAAAGAACTAGATAGTCTGTGGTCTACCTCAACCAGAAGCCATAGGCTTGATTTAGAAATAATTAAATGAAATTTTATGGTGTGCATGATGTCAAAGATTAGATATCATGGCTATAATGATACTTTCTGCTATTCCTACTTCTGTTTAAAGCAGAATAAAATAGTTGGGAGCAATGTTTCCAGTGCTGTTGTGATGTTGATATAGATAGGTTATTTGACAGAATCATAATGGAGACAGTGTTATACTGCTGCTTAAGAACAGGTATATTTTAATTATATTTTCATCACTTTATTAAGCTTAGTTTAATGGAATTCTGAGTCAGTCAACCAGAAATTATTCTTTCCTGGCACAATGCAAACGTTAATACTCTTCCAAATCCCCAGTGATATGCAATTTTTCTGAAATTGGTATTTGATTTTTGTTTGTTCATTTTTTGTTCATTTTTAGCTTCCCAGTGAAGATACTGAAATATTTGTGAGTGCTTCACAGTGCTTATCATTGCTGGTTCAGCTATATGGAGGGAACAGTCAGGAGAGCATGTCTCCAGAAAACATGGACAGCTTTGCTGAAGTACTGAAGTCCAAAAAAGATACACGACAACTGAAGCTTTTGTTGAGAATTGTAAAGAGACTGGTGAGTCAACATCTAAACTTTTTCAAAGTCTGCATGGGGTTTTTTTATATTGCTGGATCATTTTTTTGGCTGGTTTTTTCCTCTTAAAGGAAAAAATATTTTAAAAGAAGTTTGAAAACAAAATATGTGAAGTTGATTTTCATGTTTTTGAATTTCACTTCTCTGGAGAAGATAGCCTTCTACACTTAAAACCTCTTGCTACGTGATTGTTGGAGTTCTCCTATTTCAGTTAACCATTCAGCTATTTAAATAACTCATGCTATTTATATATTTGTTTAGTAATCCATCTGTATGAAGCATTGGAACAATTTTATGAATGTCTTCTGAAAGAACTAACTTGTTAGCATTAATAGCTGTTCAGAAGCACAGTAGTTGATTTTACGGTGAATAAAATGCCATTTTACACTTGGAATAGTTTTGTGCGTAGGCTGTTGAGTCCTCATTCTCTCTGAGTGAGAGAGAGCACTTCTGCTGAAGTGGTTGTGATGTAGAACTTCAGTCAGTGGGAGTCATGCAGGAGCTTATTCTGGTGAGGTTATTCACAGTTAGGAGCATCAGTTCTGTCATGCTCCAACATGGTGGCATCACAGCAGCATTGCGTCTTTTAGGTAGCTTAGGTAGAAAACCTTCAATATCGGTAGCTTTGTCTCAGATAGTACTGTGGGGTTTTTATCTTGAAGTGTCTTGATGACAAGTTTTGCCTGCATTGTCACCAACCTTGTTGGTTGAGTACTTCACCCTTTACTCTCCAAAAGCAGGAGTTTTCAATTGAATGAGGGTAACTTCCCCAGTGTAAGAAGCAGAAGGTACTTGAATTTTGTAAGTGCAGTGCTGACTACTAGAATAGTCATAATCATAAGCCATAATCAATGGCAGCAGGAGTTAAGAGAAAGCAACCCTCGTAGAGAATTCAGAGCTGTTCTAGTCCTCTTTCTCTTGCCTACTGTATTTGTATTACAGGAAAGTAAACACCATACTGTTCTTCCCTGTTTTACCCAGTTCTATCTTGCTGTAAAAGAAGCCTGTATATATAAAATTCAAATTGATATGATGTTTAGAATTTTAAAGACACTTCCTCTGATTTTAGCTTGTACCTCTGCTTCTTTTTCTGAGTAATCGTTGTGCTGTTTAGAACCGGCTTTTGCTTTTCCGCAAAAGCAGGATGAGAACAGAGGCAACGAAGTGTGAAGAAAGAAAAGAGAAATGAGGCTGCAATATACCTATCTAGATTATTTAATTTTACCATAGGTACAGACTTGTTTCTTTCTCTCCATTTTGAAGACTGTTGTTCAAAAGTTGACCTAGAGTGCAGGATATTTAACATGGAAACTTCTGTTTACTATCTAAAGAGAACAAAGCGATGCTATCACCTTTTGAATCCTGCAAGTTCCTGTACTTTTAGTTCCTGTACTCTCCTTTGTATACCTGGTGCTTGTTATTTATAATATCAGGCATAGATTTTCTGTAATTATTTTAATGAGATCATAGGATTTCTTTTGAAAGCAGGGTTCATAGAAAATTTGACAGATTATTTAATAAATCTTATGTTATTTCTCTAAACCTTAAAAAGTCCTGTTCAGAGGAGATGATTATCTTGTCAAAATTGTCATAATCACAAAAGACATTAAAATATAGTCATATCTATTTAAGAAGGATTCAGCCCACATCAGCTGAATTTTGAAGTGTAGAGCACTGTTTTTCTTTTGTAGTATCTGAGCAGTATTTTAGTAGAGGGACCAGTGAATGCACCAGTTTGCATTGTTGCTGATCAGTGCTTATACAGAGCATCTTTTCAATTTGTGGTAACATTAACTTCACTAATGCAGGCACAGGTATTGCTTTGATAAGACAGGAATGTACAAAAAGAACTCCATGTGCTTATGCTGTACATGCCTTTATAGCATGTATTGCTGGAAAGAAGGAAAAGGCATAGCAGTATGACTAGTTTCACATGACCCCAGTGAGCCAATGGAGACAGATGTCTCAATTTCAGAGTCTTCAGTTTAAAGTATTCCAGAGAATTTGTTGATCTCCAAGGTGACCTTACCTTGATGAAATGGATAGTGATACCTATGTGTTGCTATCATTTAATAGTATTAATCCATTGTGTTGTATCTCCAGCGGGTGGAAGGGGTTTTTTTGCAAGAAGTTGGAGATTTGTTTTGAGTTTGTTTTTGTTTGGGTTTTTTAAAGGTTGCTGTCAAATTTGACCAGCAAATTGACTTAAGGGCAATATAAACCTCTTCCAACACTTTCTTCACTGATTGTTTTCCTGCAATTTTTTTTGCATTCATTTGTTAAACAGAAATAAAGATATAGACCAGATTTTGTACAGGCTTATTAACGGAATCGCTATGAGCAGCCCTTTTAATGGGCTTTATTTTCCTTGAAAAAGAAATCATCAGGAGTGAAAACCAGAAAAAATATGCTTTGAGCTAACTTTTATAGCTGTGTAAGTAAAGATCTTTAAAAGCTTTGAAGAGGCAGCACTGACTTTCTTCTTTCTGGTTTGTTTATAATTACCTTTTAGCTTTCAAGGCTTTTGGCTCTGTCAAGTCCAGGTTAACCAGTCTTTTTCAAGAATGTTCTCTCTCTGACATTGATATAATGGGCAGAAACTGAATAAAATTATTGAATCAAAGGAACATGATTTGAGTTTTTTTAGGGGGTTGTTTTGGTTGGGGATTTTTTCCTTCTTCCATTGTACTAACTCTTTTGTTCTGGTTGCTTCAACTTGGGTTAGACAATACTGCTATTCAGAAATACTTTATCTTTTTTAGCAGCATTTTTGTAACTGGTTAATGACATCAGAGAGTGATCTTCTCTCATTTTTGTTGTTCTGGAAGCCTCTCCTACCACTTGTCCTGGAAATCACTACCTTATCCATCTCCTCTGTGAATATATAGTGCATCTTATTACAGTCCATTTAATTATCTAGATAAAAGTATTTCTTTGTGAAGCAGAAGAAATTTTCATTTGGGAAGCAAATAGTTTGGAGTTTGCCTCCTTTACTGAAGAGTTTTAAATTTCTTTTTTTCTCCAGAGGAAAAAATCTACCTGCCATCTCAATTTATCATCTAGTATGTAATGTAAAGGCATTTTTTAATAGAACTAGCTAATATTTTTCCACTGGGCACAGTATCATTGTGGGATTACAGCTTGGTACTCACAAATAAAATATTTCAGCTTTCAAAACAAGAGAACACTCTCTTTTATTTCCAAACAATAAAGGAAAAATTCCTCTGAGAAAAATGAGTAAAAATCAGGCTTTAACCTGCAATTCTGCACTCGCTGTGGAGAGGGAACTTTTGTTCTGTGACTTTTCCCTTAAGTACTACTCTTAAAGGATATTGAGTTCTACCTAAATCACAACCTTTTTCGTCTGATTGTTTTTGCAGGATCTCATTTCCACTAATTTGTGTATCATAACTGTCAAAAAGTTGTTCATCCTTTATTTGTGAGCAAATAAAACATTTTGGATGTCATCTGCATGTCATATACCCTGTGGGGACATGTATAAGGATTTCTTAAATCATATTAGGCTGTGTAGTAAAAACGTTAAGGCTGGAATGATAGTATTTGAGCTGTGGCAAAGTTCCATAACATTCATTAATTTCATTGTAGGACTATTGAACTCTAATTTGATTTCCCTGCCAATCTGAGCCATAGCAATGCCATCACTGTGTACCTGCAGGCAGATTTACTACCCTGTTTCAAATGAGCCAAAGCTTGAGGAACAAGTGATCAGTATGTCTAAAATATCCTTAAATTCACATGTCCCTAAGTATTTCTGTCATGTAGATTGGTAATTATATCATCCTCAGTTTTATGCAGAGTCATGCTGCCTTTGCATCTCTTGAATAGACAGCTGTGTGTTTGTATATAGAAATATATGTATATATTTTTACTGCTATAGTTCCCAGATTAGATCCTTGTTATATTAATCCCTGATCATGCATTATGAAGACATTTAGAGCTTGGAGAGATACACAGTCCAAGCAGCACAAATATTTGTTTAGAGTAGCAGTTCTGCAATCCCCTGGTAAGTCAAACTTCTTGCTGGAGGTTTGCTTCTCAGTAGATTCTCACAAGTATATCTATAGGGAGCTTCTCTCAAAGAAGGTGAAGCAAAATCTCAAGAGATTTTCAGATAGCACCCCTTTTACAGCTTCAGATCCTAGGATTCAGCACCACAAGGAGGTGCTTGTGTGGCTATTCCTAGAGCAGTCTGTTTTCCCATGGTCTCACAAAGCTGGGGGAACCTGTTGGCACATCTCCTGCCAAGGGAGCACAGCAGTCAAATAATCTCAAACTAAGTGCAGAAAAACTACTTATGCTTCTTTCTCATGATCTGAATCTTTTAAGCAGCCTTTAATCAATTTCATTAATTACCAAGGTAATCCATAATATTCCATTGCTCTAAGGTGTAATTTTATAATATTTATTTGTGAAACTGTGAGCACAATATTCACTTGTGGGTTAAATTATATATGTTTTTAAAATTCAGGTGACTCTTATAGGAACAATTTCTGTCTTTCATTAGTGTTAATCTCTTATTTTCAAGTTGTTAGCAAGCCTGCATTCCTTCTTTATAGACCATCTTTTGTTGGCTTCAATCTATGAGAATAAAGTCCCTAAGACATTATTTTAGGTATGTATATATGTATATGTGTATGTATATGTATGGGGGGGTTGTGTGTGTGTGTGTACATATATAAAGATGGAACATTTCATTAGACATAAACAACTTGAGATCCCCCCAAAGAGGAAAAAGCTAATTGTCATTAAGATACATGATACAGATCATAACAGGACGAGTTACTCAAAATCCTTTGAAACAAATACATGGTAAGCATCTTCACCCTTCCCCCTGTGTGGGGAAGCTCCCTCTGTTTGCACACTCAGACAGTGGTTTTTTTACAGTTTTAATGAAATTGGAGAGAGTCTCCAGAGATGAGAGACAGGGAGGCTTCCAATGCCCACTGTGACTTGGCAGCACT